AAAGAATAGGACTTAAGAGAATAAACACTGGATAGATGTTCTGAAGATAAACTTTCAGAATATATGTTAAGACCTTTTTTTCTCTTATTTTCTCCAGGTTTCATGACTTATCTCGTGGAGCCTTTATTCACAGAATGGGCCAGGTTTTCCAATACCAGGCTATCCCAGACAATGCTCGGACATATGGGGCTGAATAAAGCCAGTTGGAAGGGGTTGCAGAGAGAACAGTCCACCAGTGAGGACACTGATGCTGCGTTCGAGGAGTTGAACTCACAGCTATTACCTCAGGAAAATCGGTTATCATAGCCCCCAGAATCGTCGGAACAGACTGCCTCCTGCAGGTTTTTAGAAATGTGAAATGGGGTCTTGAGGTGAGAGGACTTTCTTGACTGCCAAGGTTTCCGAGGGAATGAGGCCAGCGTTATTTATTCCCAAGGTGTCCTCTACTGGATCGTGCGACCCCACTTTTTAATTATAAGACCTGAACATACAGCAATATGCACTTGGCTTTCGTGTGAAACCTTGAATATGCAAAGCCCAGCAGGAGCGGATCCGAAAGGAGTAACGAAGGAAGTTTTGCAACGTGCCACCAGTTTTTCAAAGCATTTACTCCTCGAACCGTGAAACTTGAACTGTATCTTTCAGCAGAAATCTCTTGGAATTTAACCAGTCTGACGCAACATTGTGTATCTGTACCTTCCACTAAGTTCTCTCTGAGAAAAAGGAAATGTGAAGTGCCCAGCCTCTGCTGCCTCCTGCAAGACTCGATGTTTACAAATCAACTCTGAAATATTGGTTCTAAATTGCCTTGGAGCATGATTGTGAAGGAACCACTAAGAATTTTAAAGATCAAACTTAAACTGCAGCTCTTTCCCCCTGGTTTGCCTTTTTCTTCTTTGGATGCCACCAAAGCCTCCCTTTTGCTATAGTTTTATTTTGCGCACTGGAAACTGAGCATTTATCATAGAGTACCGCCAAGCTTTCCCTCCAGTGCTGTTTGGCAATGCAGTTTTTTTTAACTGTTAGTTTCTGATTTGGGGCGGGAGGGGAAGAACACCAGTGTCCTAGCTGTATTATGATTCTGCAGTGAAGACATTGCATGTTGTTTTCACTACTGTACTCTTGACCTGCACATGCAAGAAACAGGTGGAATGTTTAAAACACCATAAACAGCTCAGGGTATTTGCCAATCTGAAATAAAGTGGGATGGGGAAGTGTGTCCTTCAGAGCAAGGGTACTAAAGTCCCTTTCGCTGCAGTGCGTGAGAGGTATGTTGTGTGTGGATGTGTGGACGTATGTTTGCGTGCATGTTTGTGCATGTGTGACTGTGCATGTGTTATATTTATCCATGTGGGAAAGGATTTGAAACGTAAGCTTTTATTTATTATCTTAGAATGTGACACGGTGCGCAGCCACACTGGGGGAGGGGAAGGTAGGCGAGCTGTGACAGACCGCTCCAGTTGCCTTAAACTATGCACAAAGCTAAGTGACCAAACTTCTTGTTTTGATTTGAAACAAGTGCATTGTTTTCTTGTCCCTCCCTTTGATGAAACGTTACCCTTTGATGGGCCTTTTGATGTGAACAGATGTTTTCTAGGACAAAATCTAAGGACTAATTTTAAACTTCAAACATTCCACTTTTGTAATTTGTTTTAAATTGTTTTATGTATAGTAAGCACAACTGTAATCTAGTTTTAAGAGAAACCGGTGCTTTCTTTTAGTTCAATTGTATTTCCCTTGTTACTGTAAAAGACTGTTTATTGATTATGTTTACAGTTCGTTGCAACAGCCATTTTCTTGGGAGAAAGCTTGAGTGTAAAGCCATTTGTAAAAGGCTTTGCCATACTCATTTTAATATGTGCCTGTTGCTGTTAACTTTTGATGAATAAAAACCTATCTTTTCACATATTTATCTTTGATATTTACCTTATAACTCAATCTTTTGGAAATCTGAATACTAAATTACTAGGAAATCCAAGGTTTAGCTTCTTGGTTCTAGCATTCACTCATCAGGTATTTATTTAGGCAGATGCAGGTGCTGGCTAAGCCCTTGGGGTCATCTGTCATTATCTGCACCTCATGAGTGAGTGAGTGGCCCCACTGTGTGTGCTCAGAGTTCTGACTAATACATGGTACAAGTCAGCTTTGAGCCCAGGCCTCTGGACTCCACAGCCTTTTTTGTCCCCACGGTTGGGAATTCCGTTAAGATATCAGCACTCTTACCATACCAAAGTACTAGCTGTAATTGCTTTTTTAAAGTAAAGTAATAAGAAATGGCCACTTAATTCTGCTTGGTTGATATCAATGTAAGAAAGGCACCACTGGGCCTCTCCTGTGTCTTCTCAAGTCCAATTCATTAGGAAGGATATAGTTCAAGTTTTAAAGTCAAACATATTGTCATTATTTGCACAGAAGAATGATGTCCAATAGAAATAAAATGTGAGCCACACGTAAGTGAATTTTCAATTTTCTACTAGCCACATCTAAAAAAGGGAAAAGAAACCAGTGGAATTAATTTTTATTCCAATATATCCAAAATATTGTATTGTTTCAATATGTAGTCATTATCTTAGAGAACAATTATTGAGATGCTTTACATTCTTTCTTGGCCGGGGGGGGGG